TTTAGATTTTAAATTTTATTTTTGATAACATGTAAAAATCAAATAGGTTTATGGTGAGACGCAAGAGAAAAAAAAGAGTATGTACAAGAAAGAAGAGGTAATTGAATGAAAAAGGAACAAAAAAAAATTTTACTTGCTCAAGATGATGAGTAGATTCTTTTGTTAAATTGATAATAATGTTCATGATCACGATCTTTAACTATGAGCTCCATGGCGATTAATGTCGAAATTAGTAGATGAGAGCAATACCAAAAAGGTTAAAGCAACTCTCCATTTAAACCAAAATTAACATGAGAAAAGTTATTGTAGGGGGAAGGAGGCTATGATTGCAAGGGAATAAATTTAGAGAACACACGATAAAATACATTCTATATTTACGAAGAAAATAATATTTTATTTATATGAAAAATAAGAAAATACAAGAAAAAAAAAACCCTTCTAAGTTAGCTCAAATCCAAATATAGAATCTCTTTGTGTGCATAGTCACATAAATCTAAAGCCGTGAAGAATTTTTTTCTTGCTTGGGCCACTCTAGATTTACTAGAATAATCTCATGAGTATCATCATTATCACATATCAAACAGGATATTTATAGAGCCACCAATCCTTAATTTTGATGTATTCCTATTTTCAAGTAAAAATCTTTTCATATTTGAATTCCTTATACTACAAATCATTTTCAGTTGTAAAATTAAAAAAAAATAATTACTGATCCTAAAAATAAAAATAAAGATAATTAAATTATGAAGAGAGAACCAAACTAAGTTGTTGACCCCATCCACCACCATATCAGACTATTGAGAAAAGGACTTTGAACCCAATTTGTCTCTCAAGAAAACGAGGATTGAGACATCTGATACAAAAATTACTCCTTTTCTAGCGTTGGAAAAAAAGAAAATTCATCAGCATATGAACCAATTTAATATATTAGCACTGACTAATATTTTTAAAATACATTTATAGTGGTTAAAAATATATAATGTCTGATTATATACACACACAAAGTGATACATATTAATCAGAATCCAAACATTTTTAGATAATCAATGCAACTTTAATAAGTTGCATGAAGAAACCTTATGATTTGTACCGACAAAAAAAATTAGAGTCGATGAAGAGAGTCACTTTCTTTTTCAAATGATCAAATTGTTCTCTTATAAACAAAAAACAAAAACAAAAGTTATTTTTTCGTTGAGGCGCAATTGGGTCCAACCGGTTTCCAATCAAACCGGTTCAATCTTAAACCGGAACAACAGGTTATCATATTTCCAAATGGAATTATAGTGTTTCAATTCAGTAAAAAATCTATTAAAAACACTGTATATTGTTAGTATTTATTGGTACTCTTCCATAATAAATGAATACAAATATTACAAAGTCTTGCAAAATATGTATCTATAAATTGAAGTCTTAATGGGAAAATAAAAATATTTTAAAATATATTAAAAACTTCCTAGTTTCCATTAAGACAGCTCAAACTCTCTTATAAACTCCTTTTTCAAATCTTAGAAGTTATAGTAGAGTTAATAACCAAGATTATGAGAATTTGAACTACACAAGGATTAGTTGTAATATTTTTTAATCGTCATGATATTTTGGTTTAGTATTAAAAAATTATAATTGGGTAATGTTGCCACCCATATTTAAGGTCAAGTGATAAAAAATGAAATTTTGTTGCCATTTATTTTAGAATATGTCAAGACCTCTTTATTTTTTATCCAAAACCACTCAAACTTTATATAAACCATTTTATAAAATCTCAAGACCTTGAGACCTACATGAAAGTTGTTCATTTAGGTTGTGAGAATTTTTATATAACTCAATTATAGTGTCTTTTAATGGAGCCTTAAAGCATTGGTTTAGTAACCAGGAACATTTCAAATCTATTAAAAATATTATAATTGGTTAATGTCTCATTCATTTTTATTATTGTATTTTATAATAAATAAACACAAATATTATAGGATTTTTTTAAACTGAATTTAAGGTTGATTGGAAAAAAAATCACAATTTATCAATTTTATTTTGAAATACAGCAAAATAATTTTAATTTTTGTCTAAAATCATTAAATAAATTCTCAAGTTGTTTCATGAGACCTCAAAATGTATAATAAAATCGACAATTAATGTTGGTGAGAATTTGAACTAATTATAGTCCAATTACTATATATTTGAATAAATTTATCATATTTTTAAAAATAAAAATATTTTTATTAAATTTATGATATATATGATGCTTATCACGTGGACTCGAATTTAAGAATTATTACTTCTACAATAATGTATTTACTTTTCCTTGAGACATAACGGTCGACTCATCTTTTAGCACAAAATCTATTAAGGTTAGTTTTGGATTATCCGAGTTGGACATCTACTCGAATTCAATCTAATTTTTTTTGAGTCGATCACAAGAAAATCCATCGAGCTGGATATCTAATCCCTACAAAACTAAGTATACTCCTTCAATACTCAAATCAGTATTGAAGTCGTGGAAGCCAGACTAATCGAATAAGTTGAGTTTATTAACTTTTTATACATCGAGAGAACCTATGGGACTCTCTTTTATAATGGATGCCTAGGACGTTAGATAGTTAGTATGAACTGATTGTAACTATCTTTATTAACTTTAGACGATTAAGTCATTTATCATTTTTTTTTATGTGCCAATCACTACAAAGTATCATATATATAGACGTGTCAGCTCCATATGATGTTAAGATGTCAACCAACTCATATATGCTATAACACTTGAATTAAAATATTAAAATTTTATGAAAAAACTTTTTAATGGGATAATATCTCACTTTTTAGTTATATTTATAATAAATAAATAAATAAATATTATATGATATTTTAAAATACATAGACCTAAATTAAGATTAAGTATAAAAATGAATATTTATTATCCTTTATTTTAAAATATTTTAAAAACATAAATTAATCATTTTATGAAACCTCAAAAATGCATAATAAACTAAATATTTAAGCTTGGTAGGAATTTACTAACTGGAACATTATTATGATTTCTTTAATAGACATAACACTTTTTATTATTAAACTAAAACACTGTAACTTCATTCAATAAATATTATAATCAATTTGATAACATAGACACTTTAACTCCATTAAAAATACTGCAAATGGTTCAATCCAAGAATAAGGGGGTTTGGTTGAAAACTAATACATCTCAAATGGGTTTTTATACAATTCTCTCGTATATTATGGAAATACGAGTAACAATCCAGAAAAGATACGATGCTGCTCATTTTGAACTTAATGATTTCCTTATTTGCCTCCCTATATTTAAGTTTGAATGTATGTTTTTTCTTTTGGATATCTTTGAAAAATTCTCACTAAGTATTTCAATCTTCAAAAATTCTCATAGTATCCCTTTGTTGTGTGAAAAGAATGAACCTAGCTTTGACACTATCTCTCTTTTCTTTGCCCTATTGAAACTATAGATACCTTTGTGAACCCCTATCGAAGCCATGTTACCTTTGCACGAGAAAGGAGGGAACGTGATGATGACGACCCTCATCGTCATTGTTTATGGCTCTCATATATATAAGAGGGTATGACAAGAGTCTATGGAGGTGATGACTCTCGTTGTCCACACTTATCTCTTCTCTTGCGTATAAGAAAGGGTTCGATAAGATTATTGTCATTGTTATTCATTGCACAACGACAAAGACAACGAGTCTCATGAGGGTTAGAGGAGGTAATGATAGATCTTATGAGGTAGAGGAGAGAGAAGACAATGCAAATTAGATGTCGAGACAAGTTCGGGTCAAGAGCAAAATGATCATTTAGAAAAAAAATAATTTGTGAGAATTTTTGAAAGTGGATAAGTTGTATCAGAATTTCACAAAAATAAGTTTTTTTTAATTCATCCTATTTCTTTTAGATTAAAAATAAGTAAATATATCATATTAATTAGTCTCTTAGATGGTGTCCATATAATAACATCGAAACTTAAATTAATATAAATATTTTTCAAATATTAATAGAAACATAAAATGATGTTCTTTTTGAAGTTAATTATTTTCTTATTTTCCTCTATATATTTAAGTTTTAACAAATACATCTTTTGGAATTAAAAATTTACAAATACATTGTTTTGATTAGTCTTTGTGGATGACGTTAGTATAATAACATCAAAACTCAAACCAGTATAAATATTTTTAACTATTAAAAAAATAAAGAATCAAATAATTGACAAAAGTAATAATTTTCCAACTTTTACCACTTGCCAAATGATATATTTTTTTACATCTTAATTATATGTGTGATTATGGTATATTAGACACACTAATCAAAAGTTGAAGGATCAAAATTTAACTTGATATATTTTTATATTTACAACATTAATATGATTGTGGTGCAATAGACTCGCTTGCCAAAGGACTAAGTGTTTAAATCCTAATTTGATACATCTTTTAATTTAAAGTATTAATTTGGTAATGATATATTAGATCCATTTATCAAAGATTGAAATATAAAATTTTATCTGATATATTTTCATACATAAAACACTGTTTTAACAGATCCACTTAGTAATTAATGATTTATTGATTTATTTAAACAGTCGATTCTCATTCTCATTTTTTAGAATACGGGAAAAAAATGATAATTCAGTTATAAATTTTTTTAATTTTTTAAAATTGAAATAATAATCATGATTTTCACAAAAACATAACATCTATGAAAGATTTAAACATCTAAAGGAATGTATATGTGAAATCAAAATATTTACAGGGATATATATAAAGTATTAAAATTTAGATGAATAAACATTCTAATTTAAT